AACAAATTTATGCAGATGATGATGGAAGGATTCTGATGGTTGAAATAATAGATAATAATGTCAAACCAGCATAATCTGGATTAGCAGGTTTGCATACTATCTTTTTTAAAAATTAATTTTTATTAAAGAATTTTTTTACAAATTAAAAGCAATACAAATTCAGAAAAAAAGAGGGACAGTAAAGCGATAAGTAAATAAGAAAGAAAAGAAAAAGGGGAAAAGATATGTAGAAGCAGTTTCCAATCTTCTTTACAGCAGTTATAGATACATTTATATTTTATCCTCTCTCTCTAAGATTACATCGTGGCTCCCTTCTTCCATATTCTACCCTTTCTAATCATCAAACCAGGTTTGCATACTATCTTGACATCTGTTAATCGAGGGACTCTGCGTGGAATATGCTTATTATATCCAGCATGGGATCTTTCAAATTACATCATCCCATTTAATCCTTTCTTATTTTTCACAAAAGGAGGTCACCCACTCAGGGAGTATCTAATGGATCCTAAGCAATCTCACTCCCCCAGTCCAAGCCCTCCTTAATAATTCTCAGCACCCAGGAGCAGACAGCAAAGGTCTGAGCAAAAGGCTTGACCAGTGCGTGTGTCAGACGACTGGCAACTTAAGATATTTCTTATATCATCACTGAAACAGTCTCCAGCTTTAGTTATTGTTGATCCCAGCAACACCTCTGTCAAGTTTGGGGAAAGAGGAAGCAGGTTAATGTTGGAAGGGGACTTTGGATATATAGAGAGCTAGCTGAACCAGAGGAAATCCACACGTGAATGGAACGTAACGTCTTTGCAGGCACGCCCAGCAAATGACTTTTCCAGAAATCATGATGGATAATGGGCTTAATGAACGATATGATGACTACTGATTCCAATGAAGTACATATAACCCATCTGAATACACAAGTGCATGGAAGTGCAACAGCATACTAGATGAACTAAAACAATGATGTGTCAAAGTCTAGCAGAAAATCAAAGTATGCCTGATGGATAAAAATACCAGACTCAGGACATGAACTCCCATGATCAAGAGCTGCCCAAGGAAAGCTAGACTTCTCCTCAAATTGTCTCCTAAACTGTAACAATATTCTATGACAAGATGGATGAAAACTAGCTGGTCAGAGTCCAACACATTTAGGTAATAAAATAGGAGATGAGGAGGAGTTTTGTATGTAAACCAGGAAAAGCATGTGAAGTGCATAAGGTGTGTAATTAGCTGTGTGGGTAGACTGTAAGAACTTCTTTCTTCTACAGTACAGTTAGCTATTTTACTTCCTGCTTTTTGCCTGCTATTTTTTTACTATCTTTTCCACACTGGGGAATCTTTCTGGGAGCTACAAGACAACATTTGGTACCTACTCAATTACTAAATTAATAATTTAATTACTAATTAAGATAATCTCTCCTCTTTCATTTGTTGGGAAGATTGTGTTGATCAGTGATGGGTACCTCTAATTAGGTGTGCTGAAATGGAGGAATGTATTAAAGGGACCACCATATTCAAGCTTTGATTCAATTTAGTGTGTGTTGCCTTCTGTGTTGATTGTGCCCACCAGGGACAAAGGGGAGAAAATAAATTTTCTATGTCTACCCCTCCCAGGAGTTACCATTGCTGGTCAACCTCATGGTATGCTTTCTAAGCCACCAGCAGCGAGTGGAGAGGAGAAATGCAGGATGAGATCATAAGGAGGGATGTATGTAAGCTACCTCAAGTTCCTGAATGAAAGAGAGAATAGATATCCAATAAATAAAAGTTAAATAGTACTTTTCCATGCTCTTCTTAATTAGCTTATGGGATTCATTGCCACAAAAGGATGAGCACTGATTTATACAAGTTTTAAAAAGGGTGAAATAAATCCAAATGGGAAATACTCCAAGCCCAGCCTTAGAAGCAGTTTCCCCTGAATATTATATGTTGTGCTGTCTTCATGCTCTCCTTCCTGGAAGTATCTAGCTAATGAGAAGTAGGATATTGGACCATGTAGATCTTGTATCTGATCCAGGAGAATGCATCTTATGTTCATTGATGAATGAGATTCTTACCTCTCTCTTAGATAATTTATGGGAGAGATCCATCTACAAAAAGAAGGAAAAAATCACTAATCTGCTGTAAATTCATTTTATAACATTGCTACACAGTAATCGTTTTTCTGGGTGTAAAGGAAAAAGTACCACTTCCCACTACCAACCTGTTCATACAAAGGCCTCCCCTATCAGCAGTGAGCCATACGGGTGTAAATGAGGGGTCTTCTTAGTAGGCACATCCAACTTTTAGAATGGGATCAGTTTTGCTGGCTTTCAAATACCAGGTTAAGGCATTTTTATTTACCTTGACATTTTACATAGGCAAAACTTCTATATGGTTTTTGTGGTTTTATTTGTTGCCACTTGTTATATCTGTCATACAGAGGTAGAACAGTTTATTTTACATAACCCAGGAACCTGATTTAATGAAGGATGATTTTAAAATATTTTAAATCAATCCCTCAAGTTTTGCTGAATGTTTCTTTAGTACTGCATTTACCATTTTTTAACAGTGATATACTGAAAATAGCAAAGCTTCACTTTAAAAACTTTATATTGAATTATTGAAGCAAATGCATAATGCCAGGTACTGCTTAAGTACTACAAGTACCTATCTTTAGGGGAACACATTCTACACAACCTTCTCCTCCGGAACATCATTTATATATAGTATATAAAGCTAACTCAATTATAGAAAGCTAATAGAGCAGCTGTGAACACACAGTAGCTATTTTAGCCACAACTAACAGATAAGCTGCTATTTCTGTTACACTAATTTCATGTAAACAATAAGAATTGAATCTTCTGGAATTTCACGCCCCATGATACTGAATGTATGGCTGTTCATAATGAAGAGCAACATAGAAATGCTTTTAATACATAAATAAAAAATACATACATACATAACCATCATGCTATTCCCTTTCTGAATAGACATTATATAATGTTCAGAAGAGGACTCAGAACTAGTAAGCAAACAAAATTAATTACATGATAATAGAAAAGATCACTAACTTTATTTTAAACTAACCCCATTTTACTATACCTCTCCATACTCTTTTATCCTTGCTTCCACCAAATGCATACATACATTGCCTTTTGCTCCTTAAATTTCTCTCTTTTTGATGATCACATCAGCCCCCTCCACCACAACTTTCATGGTCTTCCTTTGGACCCACCTATTCTTCCTTCATATGTCTGTTTTGCAATTAATTCCTCACAACAAACCATCTCCACATACAGCATGGCTGGCTGGGGAATTCTGGGAGTTGAAGTCCACCCATCTTAAAGTTGCTGAGGTTGAGGAACTCTGACATACACTACTTCCTACATCCTTTGCCTTCAGTCCACTTTCATTCAGTGCCCTTTTATTCCTAACCACCCTCTTCTTGTTTTACCACACAAACTTCTTAACTGCTATCAGAATAGCATATATAGTCTACCTTCTCTAAAGGTCTCAGAGAAGAGAGATACAGGTGTGACATTATGGCATCCTTCCCAGTACAGGGTTTCACATGACTTCTACACCCTTTATTGGGTCCCAGACATGGAGACATGTCACAATGTAAGAGCTTAAGGGAAGGTGGACTGTATAGACCTTTCTGATAGCACTTCTAAATATCCCTTCCTGCAACTACTAAGTACCAGGACCTGGATAGCTTGTAAAGTTAATGCACTGTATATGATCATCTAAACTCTGTAAGTTCAATTCCCAGTAGATGGTTTGAACCCCATTGAATAACATCTGACTACCCATGTCTGAAGTCCCGATATGGATGAAACTGGTCATACAGTGCTTTCTGGTGGTCAGGGTAACAGACTTCTTAAATAACACAAACAACAGCCAGCATTAGATTTTATTTTGTAACTATTACAGGTAGTCCTTGCTTAACAACCACTCATTCAGCGACCAAAGTTACGATGGGGCTGAACAAGTGGTAGTTTTGACTGGTCCTCAAAGCTACGATTGCCATAGTGTCCCCACATCACACGATCATGATTTTCGATCTTCCCTGCAGGCTTCCCACAAGCAAAGTCAATCACGTGAGGTCCTCATTTAATGACCCGCAGTGATTCACTTAATGATGGCAACTGGGGACTGCTAGATTGCCATCACTAAGTGATGTGGTCATGTGACATCGTGCTTTATGACCGCATCGTTTAGCAATGGGAATTCTGGCCCCAATTACCATAGTTAAGCACAGACTACCTGTAATACACTGACACCACCAAATTTACAAAGTGCGGATGAGGTATAACTGAGTGAGGAGGATGCAAAAAGGTAAAGAGTCTTTCTCGCTCAGCTCTTGGTGACCACATGGATACATTCACATAGCTGCCTTGGTAACAAGTGGTTGGCCATGGCATTCTTTTGGGATGTTTTTTCAATCTCCCAGTCCAGCCAGCAGTCCTAGGATTACTTGACATCTCCCATTTGAGTACTCACCAGCTCAGACTCTGATTAGTCTTTTCAGAATCAGCCAAGGTCAATTAGGTGCTGTTATCTGCTGTGATGAGCAGTTTACACCCTTTCACATTCTTCAGGATTTGCACCTACTGGTCAAATCAGACACCTCCCCTCCCCCGCAAAATCAAGCCAAGATTAATACTGCCGCTGGAAGACAACAGGGCTGTGCAATGTCTTCTTAAATCTGTTCTGTTCACTGCAACTATCAAAAATTATCCTGGCTTGTTTCTTTAGACTTAATGCTAAAGCAGGATGTGGAACCAGTGCCTCATCAGATGCAGCTGAACTACATTTTCCAGCATTTCACACTAGTTAGTCAGGTTTTAAAGAACCAACTGGGGTGGGGAGGGGAGACTAATTCTCTATAACTGCAACTGAGATATGAGGATGCCTCTTGACTTCCACTTCCAGTCTGAGAGACAGAACTAGAAAAAATGGTTTCATCATCCCTGTATGCTCCTTACTTCCTCCATTAAAAAAAGTTTCATTTTTTAATGTTTTCAAATAGTATTTTCTTTATTTTAATAGTCAACATTTTATAAGGATTTTGAGGTGTTAACTTGGAATCTACCAAAGTAAGTGTGGCTCTGTTTAGAAAGAGGAGTGCCTTATTACCTCCATAATGAGTGAATGTTTTAGGCAAATGTACATGACTGAGCATGTTGCAAGAAAATCTGTCATGAGCAACCATGACTATTGCTATCAGGAGACTGGAAAAAATAGCTTGGAAATGGGAAGGAGATTTCCTTTGATGGAGTAGGCTTTGCTGTACATTATACAAAAGATAGAAAATGTAGCAATAGACCGCCCAGAGTCACTTCCTCGTGAGATGGGTGGAGTCTAAATTTGAAATAGAAATAAATAAATGAAATACCTTTGGTACTGCGGTAATTAAGACAATGGGGGAGGCTAGGAGGAAGGTTATGAACTCTAGCTGCCTTACCAGATTGTTATTCAGAAAGTAATGCACAATTAAAGGACAATTCTAAGTTAAAACTAGTCTTCCAATTCCTACTTTTGCAACCTTAGAAATGAGTAGCATAAGAGAATGTTACTGGATCAGAGAGGCTGACCATAAAATTGCTTGATGAACTCAAAGTTCAGATGTCATGTAAAGACAGAATGTGGTTTGTTTGATTTTGGTTATTATGTTGTGTGAACTGACTACTATGGTTGGTAAATTACAGCTTATTCTTTATGAGGCTGTGCTCTCTAATCCATTTGTGGTTTATTTGATACATCATGGTTAAACCATGATTTAGAGCAGTATGCAAAACAGGGTGCTGAGGGTTACTAATGGGGCCCTATGCAGGTTAGTCACTATCATGGTCATTGGGAGAGGAAGTTAGCTACTCACCCAAATTCCATACTCAGAAAATGTTTGTTTAATAGTGGTTAAGAATGCAAATACATCAAAAATACTTAATGGAACATTAAGCCAGTTGGCCAATGAATTGTTTTCCATACTTGGCTGGATTGAACATATTTTCAACATCCAGGTTTGCAGATGTTATTCCTTTTCCCTAAAAAATTAAGACACAAGTCCCTCTCTAGGTGGGAACCAGCAGGTCCTCACCCTACTCTGAATCTTACTGAACAGCCTTTGGCAAGTCATGAGCACAGCCGCCTCCAAATGGCGTACCATTTCAGAAGCAAAACCAAGAAAGCAGCTTAATAACTTTTATTGTATGTAACACACTCTAAAAGGTTTCAGCATATTTGCAGATTAAAGCAGAATGTGAGAGAGAAAGAAAAAGAAGACCGACTCCAGTTAAGCAGCACCACCTACGTTTCTGCTGTCTTCGGGGGTTTTTCCCTTCCTTGGGGTCTCGCTCTCAGGCTCCATGCTGGGATGGACTGGGGAAGGGGGAAACTGAGCGGAGGACGCCATCAGAACGCAGCCATGCTTTCAGCCAGAGGCTGGCCCGCAAAGTCAGAAGTCTGCCTTCCCTACTATACGGCACTCAGATGCTGAAGAGGAAACCACACGCTTTTATCACTCTGACCATTGTAGCAACTAACGGAAATTGAAGCAGGGCTCTCTTTTACATCTCATACCTTGCAATTCGCAATGCATGGAGTCCTCTACCCAACACTGAATATGCCCTAAGAAATTACTCATCCTCCTTTGACGGCTTCTCTGTAGTCACAATCCTCTGGAGCTAAACCTGGATGCAAATTCTCTAAACAGATTAATATAAATTTGCACTCACTTTGCCCCAAGTAGAAAGGACAGCTGTGGGCTTCTAAGAGAGCACTGCCAGACTCCAACCAGACCAAGCACCTTTTAAATCTGGGTGACGTAGTCTTCAGCAGGTTTCTCCCACTGTTGTGTTATCTGCAAGCTAATTCCCCAGCATATGTAATCCATAGGAAGTTCCAGCTTTGGTATAAGGTTCAGGATTGTTTCCACTGGGCGAGTTCCATAAATGGTGCTCGCCTCCAAGGTCAGGTTGAAATAATGGTCATTCAACTTTCTGGCTGCTGCTTTCTCCCAGGGTAGGGGTGGCTTCCTTAGAAGCTGGGAATTGCAAAACTGACTTGTTATTTTCCAGACAGGCCTGGCGTGATGCAACTTGCTCGTGGCATGAAAAGGCTTCACTGATGATAAGGACTGATGTGAAACAGACCCCGAGAGAGGAAGGCCTATTCTGACCAAAATCACATTCTCACACAAATTGAGACGGATCGAGACTCGGGTCAAACACTCCTGTCTTTCTTCACTAAGAAAGAAAAACAGCATGTTTCTGCTAAATCTCATATCTGATTTTGCCTCACTAAACCAGCAGTGGGGCAGCTTTGGATGGTCAAGGGCCAGTCTTAACACTGGGGGAAGGGCTGAGGGCTGAAAAATGGATGTGGCCTTATCACACATACAAGCTGCACTGAATTTGGGAGGAGCTGGGGGAGGGTCTTTGTTTTTCTTAACTGGTAGCATATTTTAAGGTGACCACCACAATTTTCATGCCTTTTTTATCTCAAAATGATAAGAAACGGAGCTGTCAGTTTTTAGGCTCTGTGGTGAACAGGCCGCTGAGGGCTGCAAAAAGGGAAAGATAGATCCGTGTGCGCCTTCAACAGTGTATACCTTTGCCTCCTGTTCTTCTCTAAAACTTTTTTCCACCGCTATTTTTTTTCTCAAACAAGGTTCAATACCAGCCAAATAACTTTAGTCAGATGGCTGGGAATGTTGGGAGTTGTAGTCATCTAGGTGGTACCAGATTGGGAAGCCTCTTTTTATTCCTTTGGTTTGTTGGTTTTCATTCTTGCCTTGCTGGTTGCTCGAGCTCTTTCTTCCTCCTTAAGCACACAGTCCTTGTATATTCCAATTTTCTGGAGGGGAGATCAGCTACAACCTCAGTGAACAACTAGCAAGCCCTGCCAAAAAGTGAACATAGTTCCTGGGTGATGTTTGGCATTAGAATATAGCAGAAAACAAAAGCTGTGAAAGTTAGGAAGAAATAAGAGCTGCAAGTAAGAGGTATCTCAAGCGCAGTGTAGCGATGAGGGTATTGGATTTGGACCTGGACAAACCAGCTTCAACTTTCTGCTCAGTTGTAAAGTTTACTTGGCGACTCTCTCAGTCCAACTTACATCACAGGGTTGCTGCAGGGGGTGAAATGAAGGGGAAACCCATGTGAGCGGCCTTCAGCTCTCAAGAGAAAATGAATGCACTAATAAATAAAGAGGATTGCAAAAAGAGGGAAGATGGGCATGCAAATCTAGAAAGTCAGCTGCCTGGAGGCCTTGGGCCAGATAATTAAAGCTAAGTTTTTGCTGGTGTGTGCAGCAGGTAGGCATCATCTGCCATAACACAATGTTGTTCTCCTTCAATCAAACCACCTGCAAAAGGCAGATGTGTAAACCTGTCCTGCTTGAGGCATCTCAAGTCTACGACCACTCTCTCTTTGGCAGATCAGATTAGCTACTTCCATTTCCTCTCCTGTGGATTTTACGATATGGCACTAAAGATTTCATATTCATGATGAGATATAAAAGAGCAGAGGCTGGGAGAGAAAGAAGAGAAAAATAGGGACCACCCATTAAATTGCAGATTTAACCAGTGGTCTGTTAAGAATGAGCTCATTCTCTATTAAAAATGTAGGAAACATGGGGCAAGAACTGAGGAGGGAACTGTAACCCAAAAGGGCTCTTCCTCCAAACTCTAGAGGCTGCCCACTTGACCCAGAACAAACTGGGACTGCCTTGCCCAACATGATGTGACTACACCACCTATTAGCCTTTGACCATGCAGGCTGGGGCTGAAGGAAGGGGAATAGGTTGGGAACAGCTGAGCTGTGATCACATCTAACCACGAAACACGCAACCTCTTGTGCCATATCAAGTGTGAGTTCTTGTTTCCTGAGTGGATTGTGTGTCGATGTTAACCCCCTGGGAAAAGCCTCTATGCCAAGGTTTGAACCATGCCAGATCTTCCTGCTTTGCATAAAGTACAGTTTTTGAAACACAAGGTGCCTTGCAATCTCTGTCCTCGTTTCCCTGCCACCACAAGAGGAAGGGCAGAGAGGGGTTAGTGTCATTCTTTGTGACGAATCTCGTCTAGGAGTTGTGTTGTTTGCCACTTTATAGTGAAAGCAGACAGTTTTTACGTAAACTCCAGCTGAGAAAAACAAAATCTAAGTCACTTTAGTGAAACAGACAAGGAAAAAAAACATGTATCCATCATGGAGAAACTTCTACTGGAGTTCCTTTCTCAAAAACTGTACTTAAAACTGTTCTAGTCATAGTTGTTTCAATTCTCTTTCAGGCGTAGAGGAGAAAATACTGGGAACTCTGCTAGATGAAGACACATTTTTTCCCCTCATGCAGTTTAAATCATCCTGTGGCCAGGACCCATCCTTGTTTCCCCTTGATCATACAGTTAGCCTTATCTAGGTACCAGTCTCAGATTTAACCAGTCTTTTGTCATCTATCTGAATGTGGGATTAAAAATAGTTTTCCCTTCTTAAACTGACAGGGCGACAAAATGTGTAAAATCTCCAGCCTTTTGTAGGGGCAGCTAGGTGAGGAGACTCTCTTCCCCTCCCGGGTATCACCAAAGGTGTGTGCCTAGGCAGAGGTTTGGCTGCGCCCACCTCCGTTGATCCCTGGCCAGCACCTGTCACTGCTGTTTTCTTCTGGTGTTTGCCCTCCCAGTTAGGTCTGGACCTGAGTCTCCAGAACCTTCCCTTTTATAAAATCATACTGCTGCTGGGGGGGGGGGGTGATGATCATCTGGCTTATTACCTTTATTCAGACTGAGAAGACTTATATCAATGGTTAGGATGCTTGGCTAAACACAAGCCGTGTCACTTCTCCCAATCCACTTCTCTTTCTCTTGCACCCCGCCACACATAAGCCCAACACTCCAGCAAAGGGGTGGCAGTACAGAGTGATGGATTGTGAGTTGAGGACCTTTTAATGCATCTTCAGGGCTGTTACTTAGCTGGTTCAATCTCGTTCCTACAAACTGGTTAGTAAATCTTCCTCTTCCTTCAGAGAGCCCAGGTTCAGCAGAGAGCTCTAGCAGAGGCCACAGACTGCCTCCTTTAGAGCCATGGCCACAAGTAGGTCATGTACTGCCAGTTGGGTTCTCTATTAGGCAAGTTCCAGGAGCTCGTGGGCTGGCCAAGCTGAAGGAGGAGGAGCCAGGGCAGAACTGGCTGTCACTGTGGGAATCAACTGTTACCTTTTAACACCCCTGCACAAGTTAAAGCATTGCATTTAGAAATTCCAGTTGTGGCCATCTTGGTTTGTCTTTGAAAACAAACAAACAAACATATACACTGTGGTTATTCTTGTTTCAAATCTCTAGTACATAAATCCCTTTCCTTCAGAAGAGTTTAGAATAAAGCACCAACTTTTCTTTTAAACATTTTAAAAATTAATGCTTTGAGGGCCTTGATCACACTGGGCAAAGGAATTTCTTTGCTTCCCTTTTTATTTCCTCCTTTCTTAGTAATGATCTATACCTCTGTAGCTCTCAGGGGACTTCTACATGAAAATAATAAAAAAATATACAGGAAAATGTTATTGAGGCAATACGTAATTGACAAAATTAAAATGGGCCAATGAAATTTAGTTCTTTGTGTGAGAACAACTTTATATGATCTTTTACTTCTCCTGGGATGAAAGCATATAAAAATCCTTATGTCTCTGCCAGTATATTAGAACAAGGGGGTGACCTATCCTTGTAAGGGACATTTAATCTTCAGTTCATCTCCACTGTCTATAAGATTTCATATTGGCACTCCATTTCTGCATCTGGTCACTGGGTTGGTGGTGGAGTTCCCCTGTCTGTTGGTGTTGAGAGATTTCAACCTCTATACATTGGAGGCTTGGTCTAGTAGAGCCCATGGTCTCCATGGCAACCGTGAGCCTATCTAGGTAATCGCTGATCTGATACACAGAGATTAGATCCTGTTTTCACTTCAGAGTAGTTGCTATATGATCTGAATATGAGGGTAGTACCATCACCCCTTTGTCATGGTCAGAGCATTTCCTGCTCCAGATGTAATCAGTGGCCACCCATGATCTCCACAGGGCTGGACCAACTCATGGATCTGGATGATTTCAGGCAGGTTCTTGATGTTTCCCCCCATAATCTGACTGTCCTAAGTACCCCTTTTCCCAGTCTCAAGTAATGTCATTACTTCCACAAAAAAACCAGACTCAGTTGTTGAAAAAGCCCCAAACTGGATCCTCAACTCACAAACAAGCAATTGCAAATTGCTTCACTACCCCCAGGATATGCCCAAATTACCCCAGTTTAAGAACCACTGCTCTGGGAGATGAAGCATTGGAAATGATGGTTAGAGCATAGGTGGAGAACAACAAAATTTGAATCTGACCAAACACACGTATGTGCCAAGGCTCAGGCCTACTCCATGTTGATAAAAGAGACAAAACATTCTTGCTTCTCTCTTATTGCTTCCACAGCTTGTCATCCAGTGGCCTTATTTCAGGTGCCTAATTCCTTTTGGGAAGAGCCAACTACAATATGTACATACATACATTCCTATATACACATACCCAAGTATGTACATGCCCATGTGTGCATGCATAAGCAAAACAAAAGATAATTTCTCAGTGTGGGTCTTCAGCCTTACTATGCACAAGTTTCTAAACAATAAGAAGCAAACCAGCAAGTACCCAAAGAGCAACTTTGGTACTAACTCTTATAGCCTTCCATCAAGAATCTATTTG